GTCCTCTCTCTTGTTCTGCTTGCACACGCCCCCAGCACTGGGTAGGTAAGCACTAACGTGGTACTAGGAGCAGCACCCTCAGCTCCTAACAATGGCTGTGGGACAATATTGGGAGTTGTTAGCACCCAGGTTCAACTGGGTGACACCAGTGGCTTTGTTTGTTTGTTTGTTTATTAAAACATTTCTATGCTGCCCCATTCGCCGAAGCCTCGGGGCGGCTCACAACATAGCAGTTGTCTGCAGGAAAGCAAGGCAGAAAGGATCAGATGAGCCTTTTTAATTGAGAAAGCTGCAGGCAGGCAGGCAGGCCTTAGTTTTTAGACCAAGGGGGGCTGGCTGGAGGAGGAGGAAGAACCAGAGGGAGGTAGAGGAATTGGCACAGAGAGGAACACTGGCCCAGGCAGTGGAGACTGAATGTTCAGGTGGGTTTCTTAACAGGGCCCACCCCAGTATATGCACCCCAGATTGAAAGGAATAGGAGCTGCATACCAGGGCATCAGCTCATACAGGTCTCGTTAATTACTACAAAGAACTTCCCGGTGCATCAGGGACACTCGCATAGCATTTGAGTTGCCCTTAGCAATGAGGCTGGAGGAGGTGGTCCTTAGCAGTCTCACTGGCTTTCCTTTAGTCCAGGACTGATGCACTTACCATGTGGCTTCCTAACATAAGGGAAAGGGGAAGCCCACTGTGTGCTTCATCAGGAGAACATTATGAGGAAATGAGTGGGATTTTTATTGCCTTCAAAACTATGGCTCCAGATTTAAGAAGGATTACGAATAAGGCTCTTTGAGGTGGGTATTAAGACTGCATAGACCTAAAAGTTTTATTTTGTGTGGGTTTAGAGAACATTCCAACCCATTTCATTATTCATTATATCTTATTATTGTGGTGTGATGCTGGTTAAGACTGTAAAATGCAAATTTGGCTTGAAGTTCTTTTTCACATAAAGGTTTAAAAATACACATAATGGTTGCACTGGTGCTTTGTTTAATTTTGTTGTTAAGCCTTTATAGTTTTTCAACAGGATACCCTGAAAGATTTTAATGACACAACATAGCTCTGCATAAAAAGTTAACAATTTATACTGACCTACATTTATTGAAAGGAGCTTGCAAAAAAGCATATTTGCTTACATCTTGGGCAGGAGGTTTGAATTTTGAACTAGCAACATTCAAAAATTCTTTTTTATTTCGGTTAGCATGGGCAAACACAAAATGTGTTGAAGAAACTTTTGCAGACAATTTGGGGCAGTGGGGAGTGGGACTTGCCCTGCCTTTTTGCAGAGTGCCCTGTTCTACTTCCCCCGTCCCCCAAAAACTTTTCGGGATCTATTCCAGTGGTCAGAATTGTGCTCCTGTAATCCCTTAGTGGCATAAGTGGGAGCTACCAACCCAAATTTCCCGGAATGTCCTGGAGTTGCAGTGTATCAGGAGCATCATGGGAAGTTATACTGGTGGCAGCTTCCTGCCTCAGCTCTCTAATGCGCTTGCCATTGCAACCAACAGGTAAAGTGAGAGAGAGCCCACTATGGGACTGTTTCCAGGGCGTTTCTCAACCTGCTGCTGGCCCAGACAGAGGGAGGGAAACTACCAGGTGGAGATACATGGAGCAAGACCAAGGAACAAGATCACATTAGCCAGCACAGGATAAGGTGCTCGTTTAGACAAGGGATCAGACCTGACCTGCAAGCATTTATGCCAGATGAGAAGGAACTGGTGTGCAGCTCAAGGAGCTCTGCAAGGACCTTTCAGAGTGGCATTTCCCCTTCTGCCCTTACCTTGCAGCCAGACCGCACTGCCAGATGCATAGAAATGACCCCTCCAGGCCTGCCATGCATGTGGCGAGAACATCAGGCTGGTCCTCATTCTAACTCTGCTAGAGACACTTACAGGTCGTGATACCAGTGGAAGCAAAATGGGAAAGCCCATTCCATTTTGGAAGAGGGGAAAGTGTTCTCTCTCTTCATTGCCACAATCAGTTCTCACGCTCGCATGTTGTGAAAGCATTTCAGTTTGAGCCTGCATCTCCCCAGGAGAAGAAAACAAAATCCCAGCATCTTCTATCACAAAATTAAACCTGAGTTTCTTGACATGGTATTTCAGCAGTTTGGCGGCCACATAGAGTTTGGCTATTTTTCACATTATATTAGGTGCGGTGAATGCTAAAACATGGGTTGCAGCTCCCCAGTGAATGGACTTTCCTCAAAGGCACTCACTCAGGATGCTGTGCTTGGCAAATTGGTCCTATATTTTTCACCTGACCACTCTTCTTTTATGCCCTCCCTGCCTTAAGGCTGCCTTTAATCGGGCCTATAGTTTAAATTATTGGGAAGGATCTGCCACTGCAGATGCACCGGGCTATTTAAATTTTGCACTTCTGGGACATCTACTTAAATCTAGAATGTCCATATATTTTAACCTGAGTATCGCTTCTCAACTGTGTAACCTCATGGCAGGAAGGACTGTGTGCCTTTTAGTGTGTAATGCATCAGGCTGGCTTTGTGAAATGAAAGACACTGAATATTAAATGCACAAAGGCATTCCCAATTATAGTGATGGATGTGGAGTGCTTGTTTACTGTGGAGTAAAAAGAACTGCAGATGTTTAATGAAAGACACCAAACATCTGCATTCTCAATATTGCAGAGCAACGAGCAAGGGCGGCAGCAAGAGCGAAAGTAACCTTTATTTTGTGTGTGTGTGTGTGTGAGAGAGAGAGAGAGGGAGGGAGGGAGGAGGAGGAAGAAGAAGAAGAAGAGGAGGAGGACAGTGTGTGAAGCAAAGGGAGTTTTACAAAAATTCATCCCTCTTATAAGACACTTTGCACACTTTCTATAGCTGAATGTAAAAAAGGTCATTACTCAAGAAATGCACTTATTTGGTTTGCTTTGAAAATGTGTGGCAAGGCAGGGCTGCGTCATTCAGGGGCATGTCCCACCAATGGCAAATGCCTTTGCTTTTCCTTGCTGTCTTCTCCTAATGGACTGTGATTATGCATACACCCAGTTATCACCACTTCATCACATTGGGTCACTCTGGCTTCCACATGTGCACGTGAGTGACAAGGGAAACATCCAGTGAGATTCAGCCTGGCTCTGCTTCTTGTCACTGAGGGGAAAGCACCCAGAGGAAAGGGGATCGCTGAGGAAAGCAGATGAAGGAAGGGTCAAGCAGCCTCCATTGTCTCTGTTTCCACACTGCAAATGACCATGCTTTAAAGGTTCAAGGCGGTTTGGGAAAACTGCATTGCCCTCACCCTACAAGTTCCAACCTAATAGCAAACAATGCACCTTATCTGTTTGGTGTTTCCTCTAGTCTTACATAAAATACCATAGTTAAAAGTCTCCACAGATTTGAAGGTTAAGGTTCTTCAAAAAAAGAAATGTGTTTTTCCTGAGAGTTTCCATGTTTCAACCCACAATGAGCCTTCTGATTGTATTAGTTTTTCAGTCAGTGGACAGAAGGGGTTTTTTGTATGCATCTGCTTATAGGTAGCAATGTGATCCTGTACATGCATGGCACCTCCATTCAGAAAAATATCCAGAGAATGTTGCCATAGACTTGAACCTTAAGGCAGAATGTTTCTGGTTCTGAGAAAACTCAGTTATGGCTGTAATTCTATGCGTGTTCACGCCGAGAAAGATCCTATGGCTCCATCATTCAATTCTTAGAATTACAGGAATTTTCCTGTCTAAACATGCATACGATTGCATTCTCAGTTACTTTATAGCAACAGATAGCAGGCCTGACTCCATGAATGCTTGCTTACCACAAAGAGCTGCACTGGATCTGAATGATTTACTACATGAACATAATTTCTTTATACAAAAAAGTATGCCAACTTAGTTTGGAGAGTAAAGTATGTTGTTGTTGAGCTGCAAATTCATGTCCAATGTACACACACCTATTTTGCTCTCTCTGTATTTTCTTCTTAATACCTTGTCTTCTTATTATCTGTACATGCACCAAAATAGATGCAGACATGATAGTCATGTGCAGCAATTTATGCACAAAGTCCCCATGTTTTATCCTAAATCAAAATACTGTATTAGCCTAAAAAAAAAGTTAGTACCTTTCAAGCTACCCTGCAATTTCTGTATTACAACAATGACATTGACATTCTGCATATTGAACACCAGAGGGAGCTGATGTCTGTCTAACATCAAATGCTTCTTACTGCCTTATAAAAGTCCTTGAAGCAATACAAAACTCAAGTTTTAATGCTGATGCTAACATTCCATCTTTGTACCATCTATTTATATAGGAGTCTTCCTTTTATCTAATTTACTACCAGTTGAATGGAACTGTTATTTCAGCTTAGCTAACATTCAATATTGCAGTATCAAGACTTAGCCGACAACTTCTTAAATTTATGCTAGTGATGTTCCACATAATCTACAAAATGCAGAAGTGGCTTTATTTATCTATTTATTTATTGCATTTATATACTGCCCCAGAAGCCCAAAGGGCTAGTCCTTGCCCAGTGGGTTTTGTTTCATATTTAAATCTAAGACATCAATTTCTAGAAATGTATGAGAAATTTGTATCAAGTTGCTTTCAATTAAGATTTACCCAGTTTGCATATCCCAGATCCATACATTTCGGAGCTTGCCGTGTCATTCAGAACATGCATTCTTTTGAAAAATGCATACAGTGTGCTTTAATCAATGGGGGAAAGCGCATACACTTGGAAGATGTATGCACAATTGAAGCACACATTTGCAAGAATATTCATGGAACTATACATGTGCAAAAAAAAAAAAAAAGCTCACAATCTGATATCAGCTCAACTCAGAGCAATCTCTGAGAGGAATCTGAAAAACTTTGGTGTGCTTGAGTTGTTATTCAGTCGCTATTCAGTGCAACACAAGCTGGCTGGCAACCTGATGTCTGCTGAGCCATTCCCACCACTGCCTTGCTATCAGCTTAGCATATCAAACAGTATAGCGTCTACTGTATATAATCTGTCCCTTCCCACTGGCTGGTTTGTTCTCCACAGGTCCTGCGTGACAGACATGTGCGAGTGCCCAGTTCATAAGAACTGCTACTGTGAATCATTCCTTGCCTATGCCAGAGCCTGTCAAAGGGAAGGCCTGAAAGTCCACTGGAAACCGGAGCAAAATTGTGCTGGTAAGTGGGCACACCTCTTGCTTCATGTCAGCAGTGGATGGACACCTTGCAGAGCCAGGGTGGCGTGAAGGTGGACTGGGTACCTGGGAGAGCTGAATTCTTGGGTCCACTTGGCCACAAAACTCACTGGGTGACTTTGGAAAAACTTGCTCACTCTCAGCCTAACGTGATTCACTGGGCTGTTGTGCAGATCAAATGGAGGTATGAAAGCAGCCTTGGGTTCCTTAAGGAGGAAGAAGGTGGGATATGAATCCAACATTTTTGTTGTGGTTCTTGTTAAATAATTTAAAATCTTGACGACCACTTCTTCCCCATTTCCACCGTTTCTGCTTCATATTGCCCCAACTGTTCCCCCTCCCCAGATTTGTGGTCTTGCCATTGAATCAGTGGGGCAGAGAAAAGGTTAAGTGCCCCACCGCAGAGCTGCTTCCCTTTAACACCTCGGAGTAGCTTTTGCTGAACAGATATAACTCTTGGAGCAGATACGTGTAATGTAGTTCAGCCCTAAGCCTATAATTAAGCACTTTACTTTATTGCTGAAAGTCAGGAAGCAAAAGAAGAGAAGGGAAGGGAAGGGAGGATCAATAAATGGTTACTGGGGTATTTTGGTGCTGTAATGCCAGCAAGAAAAAAGAAAATGGGAGCAATAAAAGGTTACCAAGTTCTGAAATGCAGTGACCAGATGGTTTGCATTGATGGAGAGAATACAGGAAGCACATCTGACAAACAGAATTCCAGCAACTTTGTACTAACAACCCTGTTCTGAAACGCTGCATCAGGTACCTATTTCACTTGTCTAAGCCTATTGGACAGAGGAGCAGTTGGAGGAAGGATCACAGGGCTCTTGTTCTGAGATATCCCAGCTGATTACTAACATTTCCTGCACTGCTTTCAACTCCTTGTGGAGGCGCAGCTGTAACAGCTCTGACTTCATAGGAAAGGAAGACAGATGGGGAGGCTGGGGTGGGAATGTGCAGCTGATTTGCATCTATTTTACTCATTAAACTGACAAGCTGTGCCATCTCCTAATTGTTTAAGCCCATGTACTTGCAATTAAGTGGAGATGAGACAAACAATTTGGTTTCACTCAGGAAAGGTGTTGGGGGAGTTGATTCATTCCATTCTGTCTAAACCGAATCGTGCCTTGGGATGGGGGAGAAAAGTGTTGGGCGTTCTAATCCAAATTATCTGATTCGGCACTTTCAAAACAATGTGCCAACTGAGCTGCCCTTCTCTGAATATTGCAGGAGTTTTGCAATCAAACAACGTGTACAAAAATGTGTATGTTATGCAAAATGCATACAAGCAAGCATATGATTGTGACAATGTTGCTAGATATTCATTGCATTATGAAAATTACTTGCAAAAATTAACTACCAGGACTGCTGTCGGGCACACTCTGTGAAGAGCCTCCTGGTAAGGGCAGCAATGGCGGCTCTTGCCAAGCAGCTCACTAGTTCTGGAGTGTCCCCACCATGAGTTGTATTATCCAAGCAATCATGGCAGGGGGAAACCCTTGAGCAGAGTAGTGATGCTGGGAATTCTGCTCCATTTAAGGCTGATGGGACTGCAGAGTATCCACTTTGATGAACAGCAGTAGACTGCAGCCATTGTTCCCCTTGGTTCTGGACATGCTCATATTTTTGCATTCGTCTTGAAATGTCTGCAAATGGATTTTAGTATCTTAGAAGTGTTTAAAGGTTGGTTGGTTGCTTGCTTGCTTTTTAATTGTTCAGATCCTTACATTTCTACAAATGGTGTCTGGTTTTGGTGGCATATTTTTATTGGTGATTTCTTTTAAGTCCACCTAACCTCTATGTATTCCTGTTTTTAAAAACCTTGCCAATTTTATCTCTATGTACCATTTAATTTAGTCCAGTATAAAGGACTTCTCGATTTCACCTCCACTTTGAGGCTGCTCTCACCTTGCTAGCAAACAGCTTTTTGTTTAAAGGAAAGCTGCTTCATCCTGGAGCACACCCACTCCCAAAGCACCTTTTAAGAACAGTGGGTGGAATTACTAAAAATACACAAATTTCATGGCAAAGCAGTAACGGGAGGGGACGGGAGAGAAATAGCACAAATTTCGGGTAGAGCAGTAACATGGAGGCAAGGGGGTGGTGCCCAATAGCTCTCCTTTGGCATCTGTCCTGTAGGTATTTGAGCTTTGCATGGACACTTGGCAGTATCCTTTTTCCTTTCAACCCTTCCGAGTCCCAAGGAAGTCAGCAAAGGGAAGAGAGTATCTTCTTTCCACTGCATCTCCTTTTTGGGCATTATTTCAGCTGAGATTCTCCTTCATCTTTTCTCTGTCTCAGGATGCGTTGGTTCAAATTTTCTAGGAATTCATGACCCAAGGGCACCAGAGAGTGTCCTGAATATATTTGTGATTTTTAAAAAATATTTCACTCCTTCAGAAGTTTGCAGGACCATGTGCAGCCGCTAGAAGAGAAGGCAGTGTGACATTGGCCAGAACATTGATGCTTGTTTGAAAGTGCTTGAACCAAAAAGTTGCAAATGTTTTATGAAGACACAGATACTTAGAGCAGGCTACAGTGTCCTTGACGATTTGTGATCGCCTTACTGTAGCCAGATGCAAAAGATGAAGGGGTCCCTGCACCTTTGATATTTGGGTAGTAGGCTGAATTTCTGAAAGTGTGACTGCGAACTACCCCCGTCAAAAGTCCCTCTGTTATGCAACACTTAGTGGTAAAGTAACTCTGCCCGCATCTGCACCCATCCAGCAAGGTGCAAAAGATCTCACGTCTGCTTTGTACATTTGAGCAGTGCTTGTACTCCAAGCAGTTGCTTTTACAGCAAACAATTGCCTTCTTGTATCCATCATGGAGTATATACTACCGAAAGTGAGTGTTTTCCTTTATTACTGCATGCCACTTTCTAATGGGGTTGTGACCTAGGCACTTGCAGAAAAGAAATGGGTAGTTATTAGGAAAGATAAGAAAAAGAAGATTCCTTCTTTTCTAGAAGTTATTACCCTTAGGTACATAATGTGTAATTCTGTGTGACACGAAGACCACTGCTTCCCATCAGCATCCTCTTTGGTGGAGGGCACATTAGCAGACAAGGGTGAATGACAGAGCTAAAAATAGTTGGTCAGGTGCCCTCAGAGTTGTGACCATTCTTTAAAAAAAGTAAAGTGGTTTCAAGTATGATTGTAGCCTCTGATATACTTAATGGAATTCATTTTCTTGCCCTCTCTGGTTTCTTGACCTTTCTCTTTAACAGCAAAGAACAGAAGGTGAAAAAAAGATTACAGGAGCAGTTGAGTGCTTTCTTCTACTTTAGGATGAGGTAATGGAATCAACTTCAGTAGGCCTGCATTAGCATCTGGTCCCAAAGGTGGCCAAATGCAAACAAGGATGGGCCCTGCCTGCTTAATAGTTGTATAAGAGAGTGGATTTGAACAGGTGTCAAGGTTTCCCATTCTGTAAATCCCTAGAGATGAGTTCAGACTTGTTCCACTTTTTGAAGGGTAGCTCTGTGAATCCATGGCAGCAGAAATTCCAAAATGCCTTGGAGCTCCTCGATAGCTAATGGTGGATGAAGATCTGTTTCATGAGACAATGTGGAGAGCTACATGGCTTATGCACAGAGAGAAGGGAGGGTGCGGGCCTGTTGTATACATTTTGGCCAGAACTGAAACCAGCAGGCAAGAGTGAGTCACTGGCCCGCCACTGGCCCGTGAGGAGAACAAATGAAGACAGAAGCCCATCACGTGAGCTAAGAACCAGTGAAGTAACCCCCACTGGGTGATGCAGAGGAATAGCAAGGCCGATTATGTACAACAGTCATTCAGCCACTTGCTGCTGTTCAGATTCTTTCGGATGCAGCTCCCATCATCCCCAATAATCATGCTGCCTGGAGTGATGGGGAGCTGCAGTCCAATACATCTCCAGGTGAGGGAAAGCTGCAGTATAAATAAATAGTGAGCTAGTTCTTCTGAGGGCTTCTGGGGATCTGCAGGGTCAAATTAGCTCATCATTATCAGCAAGGAGAGGGAAAGGCAGTTCCCATTCCAAGATGCGTTGGGCTAGTCAGTATATGCACTGGCTTTTTCAAAGGGAAAGCTAGTGTCAAAACAGAGGCACGAGGGCTGACTTGAGGACTCCCAGGCTTGTCACAGCCTGATGAGCCTGGGACAGCCACAGGCACCAGGGGGTCCATTCAGGCTGTGGCTACAGCTTGTCATGACATGCATACCTGGCCATCCCCGCAACCTACCCTTGTTAGGTTTGCCCAGTGGCTGGGATATCCCAAGGGCTGGCCTGCAGAGTGTGACAGCCCTCACAGGGACGTTAACCTACACTGGGCCAGGTTGTGTGAACTAGCCCAGGGACTGACTTTGCCTAGTAGGCGGGAGTGTGTGTGAATGAGACATGTTGGCTCCCCCAGAGGGAAGATAAGGGCTGGGCCACCTGCCTCATTTGCCAAGGGGATGCTATTGGAAAGCCTCCTCCTTGTGGTGGGCGCTCAGGGTTCTGGCTGCAATATTGGAAATCCTTCTCCAATGGGAATTGGCCACATCCTTTTGCCTTTGCAGCAATGGAAGGGGTAGGGGAAGGGGAAGGGGCTTGTGCTGAATGTTGGAGAATACCCAGCCTCTGACCCATCATCTCTCCCCACCAGGGCATCCCCCACCCCAGTCATACCTTGCACCTGCTGTTGTTCCATAGGGATCTGGCCATGCAGGAAAAAACGTGCATTTCCCTTTGTGCCCTGAGAAAGGGGCTGCTTCTTTCTCAGAACCAGGAAGAAACATCCGTGAGTGAGTGAGTGAGTGAGTGAGTGAG